AGAGCGCGAAGCGGGCCTCGTCGGCCCAACACGGATCCACTCTATCCTCCACCGCCCCGACACTCGACGACGAAACGACCTCCTCCTCCTCCTCATCCGCAGGGTCGGGCGGGGGCTCGGCAGGCAGGTCCTGGTCGTGCTGTTGCAGCCCGACTGTGTCCTGCCTGCTCTGGCCGCTGGTGGCCATCAAAACCTCAAGCCTTCCCGCCCACCTCCCCTGCTCGGCCACAAGGGCCTTAAATCCTCTATACAAATCGGCATGGGAGCCGTCCGCTCCATGCATCTTGGCACCTAGCTTGGCATACTGGTCTGCACTCGCATTGGCCTTTTTCTCCCAGAGTGTAGTTCGACCAGCTTCAACGTCTGATCGTGTGGCGTAGGCAAGGGTCTTGTGGGCCTGGATGTCACTCCCCTCGAAGGCCGCCCAAAACGGGCTCCACACGTGGCCCCTCGGGGATCTGGCCTCGGCCCCCGACCCTGGACCTCCGAGCAAAACTTCTAGAGTGGCCTTGCAATCTAGATAGAGCTCAAACGGGGCGATGTCAACTTGTGTGAGCATGTGCACCGCAAAATCCTCGTCCTCTTTGGTAGTCCGGCGAGGGCCGAAGTTGATCGGCACTGGGCCGCATGCAGCATGCAGCACATTTCCCACAGGGTCCACCTGCACAAGAGCCCAGCCCGCTCTGCAAACTCCTGGAAGCGAGGGCCACAGGGCCGAACCGTCACTGAAAATGCAACCCGTGAGATACCCACTGGCAGGCTTATTCACCCACCTGATAGTGGCCTCGGGTTCCTCACGAAGGACAAAGGCCAAGGGACTGGGCATCACACACCTCGCAAACCGCTCACCCACGTCCTCCCCACACTCTAAAGCACGACGGGCGCGAGCAGCATGCCAAGGGGAAACCGCATCCCTTCTGACACTGCTGTGCGCAACACAACCGTACTGCCTGTGCCACAGCGTCCCCCTGGCCTCATTACAAAGCTGACAAGCATCCGAGCTGTGCAGCCCGTGGCCGCACACTCGGGCCTGCGGCCAGTGCACATTGCACACAAGCGAGCGAAGCGCACGCTGGTGATGGGCCGTCCAGAGATTGGTTCTACCCCTGAGGAGCGGACCCAGACCAGCCCAAAAAATCGGAAACACACCATCGCGCCCTCGAGGGCCGACTAAGGACGCAGGAGAAGGGAGTAAGGGACGGAAGAGGAGGAGGAGGAGGAAGGAGGGAAAAAGGAGAAGGGGGGATGGAGGCAAGGGGGGATGGAGCCACAAACCGTGTGAGGGGTGTGCCGAAATGGGTGGCGGACACGCATGTAAACTGTGCCACTGGGGCCTTCGGTGGAGATCCCTATGGGACCACGAACCGTGTGAGAGATGCGCCGACATGGATGGCACGGACGCATGGGAACGTGGCCACTGGAGCTGCAGGTGGAGCTCCCTATGGGGCCACGAACCGTATGAGGGGTATGCTGTATTGGGTGGCGGGGGCGCATGGGAAGGTCGCCACTGGAGCTTTAGGTGGAGCTCCCTATAGGGGCCACGAACAGTGTGAGGGGCGTGCCAAATTGGGTAACGGGGACGCATGGGAACGTGGCCACTGGAGCCTTAGGTGGAGCTCCTTATGTGATCACGAACCCTGTGAAGGGTGTGCTGCAATGGGTGGCGGGGGCGCATGGGAACGCCGCCACTGGAGCCTTCGGTGGAACTCCTTATGTGATCACGAACCGTGTGAAGTGCGTACTGTCATGGGTGGCGGGGACGCATGGGAACGTCGCCACTGGGGCCTTCAGTGGAGCTCCATATGGGGCCACGACCGCGTGAAGGGTGTGCTGTAATGGGTGGCGGGGACGCATGGGAACTGCACCACTGGGGCTTTGTGGCGGAGCTCCCTATGAGGCCACGAACCGTGTGAGGGGCGTGCCAAATTGGGCAACGGGGACGCATGGGAACGTGGCCACTGGAGCCCTAGGTGGAAGTCCCTCAGGGGCAACGAACCGTGTGAGGGGTGTACCAAAATGGGTGGCGGGGACGAATGGGAACGCCGCAACTGGGGCCTTCAGTGGAGCTCCCTATGGGATCATGAACCGTGTGAAGGGTGTGCTGTAATGGGTGGCAGAGGCGCATGGGAACGTCACCATTGGAACTTTAGGTGGAGCGCCCTATGGGGCCACGACCCGCGTGAGGGGTGTGCCGAAATGGGTGGCGAGGACGCATGGGAACTTCGCCACTGTTGCTTTAGGTGGAACTCCCTGAGGGGCCACGAGCCGTGTGAGGGGTGTGCCAAAATGGGCGACAGGGGCGCATGGGAACGTCACCATTGGAGCCTTAGGTGGAGCGCCCCATGGGGTCACGAAACGTGGAATGGTGTGCCAAAAATGGGTGGTGGTGACGGCAATGACGTTGATGATGGTGACGGGACGAAGGAGGAGGAGAGGACGGAAGGAAGGAAGGAAGGAAGGAAGGAAGGAAGGAAGGAACGCAGGGCGTTGTCTCTTCAAAACGAGGACCCAGCACTACAGGATGGCTAAGAAAATATAACATCAACGATCTTGGCGTGCACCTGCACAGCAGGCTCGCGCACCCACCGTCATCGAAATGCACGGCCGCCCAAAAGGAGGGGAGGGCGAGGACAACACAAGCAGTTGAAACACTCAAGCAAACAATACACATAATGGACCGCCAATTCCAATTTCCTTCGTCTGCCAGGGCCGCCCACATTCCCCCCACCGTACACACAACAATTCACCTCCCTTACGGTGGGGCCACGAACGGAATGAATGGCTGGGGACGAAAATGAAGGGTGGGACGAAATTAATATCTGGGACGCATGTGGACGCACCCCCTGGGGCCTTCGGTGGGGCTCCCTATGAGGCAGCGAACCGTGTGAGGGGTGTGCCAAAATGAATCCCTGGGACGCATAAAGACGCACCCCCTGGGGCCTTCGGTGGAGCTCCCCACCACGAAACGTGTGAGGGGTGTGCCGTAATGAGTGGCGGGGACGCATGTAAGCTGTACCACTGGGGCCTTCGGTGGAGCTCCCTACGGGGCAACGAAAAGTGAGAGAGGTGTGCCAAAAAAATGAATGGCGGGGACGCATGTAAACTGTACCTCTGGGACCTTCGGTGGAGCTGCCTATGGGCCACGAAACGAGCGAAGGGTGCGCCGAAATGGGTGGCGGGGACGCAAGTAAACTATGCCAATGGGGCATTCGGTGGAGCTCCCTATGGGGCCACGAACCGTGTGAGTGTGCTGTAATGGGTGGCGGAGACGCATGGGAACTGCACCACTGGGGCTTTAGGTGGAACTCCCTGAGGGGCCACGAACCGTGTGAGGGGTGTGCCAAAATGGGTGGCGGAGACGCATGTGGACTGTGCCACTGGGGCCGTCGGGGAACTCCTTTACGGGGCCGCGAACCGTATGAAAGGTGTGCTGTACTGGGTGGCGGGGACGCATGTAAACTGTACAACCGGGACCTTCGGTGGAGCTCCCCATGGGGCCACGAACCGTGTGAGGGGTGTGCTGATATGTGTGGCGGGGACGCATGGGAACTGCGCCACTGGGGTCTTCGGTGGAGCTTCCTATGGGGCCGCGACCCGTGTGAGGGGTGTGCCGACATGGGTGGCGGGGACGCGTGTAAACCGTGCCACTGGGGCATTCGGTGGAGCTGCCTATGGGGCCGCGAACCGTGTGAGAGGTGTGCCGAAATGAGTGGTTGGAACGTATGTAAGCTATGCCACTGGGGCATTCGGTGGAGCGGCCTATGGGGCCACGAACCGTGTGAGGGATGTGCCGACATGGATGGCTGATGATGATGGTGATGATGATGATGATGATGATGATCCCGAAAGCATTACGTTGACATTGTTAGTCACACCACACGAAACGTCACTCCGCGCCACTCACAAAGTTTGATGATGATGATGATGATGTTGATGATGATTATGGTGATAATCGTGATAGTGATGGAATGATGGATGAATGATGACGACGATGACGATGTACGTGTACGAAGAACGATTACGTGACCGATTACGATGACGATGACGAAGACGAAAGACGAAGACGAAGACGAAGAACGAAGATGAATGACGATGACGATGACGAAGACGATGACGATGACGCTGACGATGACGATAGATGAATGGATGATGATTATTGATGGATGATGTGATGATGAATGAGACAGGATCGATTGTAAGATTGATGAAGAAGTGGGTAATGAGATGGTGATGATGATATTAGGATTATGGTGAGGAGGAGGATGAGGATGGAGGATTGAGGGAGGAGCGGGAGGAGGCGGAGGAGGAGGAGGAGAGGAAGGAAGGAAGGAAGGAAGGAAGGAAGGAAGGAAGGAACGCGGGGCGCTGTCTCTTCAAACGAGGACCCAACACCACAGGACGGCTGGGAAAAACGGTTTCGACGTCACTGCCCGAGGATGATCCACCGACGAATCCTGCTTTTTCTCTCAGTGCCCAGTGGAAACAAACTCATGCGCCGCAGCGTGCTTTCCCTCCCTCCCTCGCTGGCGCGCGGAACGTGCCAGGGGCAGCGCTGGAGGCCCCGCCTGGGCTTGTCCAGTGCCAGCCCAAGATCCGCGAGGACCTCCGAACGGCTAGTCATGATTGTGCCGCTTTCAGCTCCCCTCGCCTCACCTGACTACATCAACGGCGGGGACGTGCAGGGGCCAGCGCCGCGGCCCGCGCGGGGGGGGCCGGCTCGAGCCGCACCCCTGCCAGCGGTGGACGAGATGGGCGGATAGGCCTGGGCAGGATGAGTCGGCATCGAGTCGGGAGATCGGATCAGGTCGGAATGCGCGTCGGATCGGACAGCATCGGCACGGAGCCGAGATCGA